TGCCTCCTCATCTGCCACCATTTAATCTAGCAGTGGGGTAACCTAAGGCTTGCCTGGAACCAGCCCCTGAGGCTCAGGACTCCCCCACAGCATTGGGGAGCCCGTGCTGGCACTCCAGCTCTCCTCCTTTCTGTTCCCCCCATGGGGCTGGAGCACACAAAATCTACTAGCCTGAGTCCGACTGATTTTTCTGTGGGACAGTGGCCCCTGACCCAAAAAAGGTTCCCTACCCCTGGTTTAATCAGTTAACCATTTAAATATAACGTTTAACTCATCACCTAATTAAACAGGATTTTACATTCCTAGTTCCAACAACAACTGTTAGTAAAATGCTATCGTTCAGGCTGAATCTATCAGCACATACTCAAAATACATACAATACAGAGGAACTGCAAGTATTTTATGTTTTGAACACTAGTGAACATTTTGCCAACACTTAACCGCAAATAAGCAGTTTTAGATCTCAGAGAGAGGCAGTATTCCATATGAGATAAATGAGAACCAATCTTGCGTTTGGGAGTTGTCTTCAAGTTTTGTGTCAATTTCAACTGAAACTTCCTCACCACCACAAAGTCACATATCTTTGGAAAAAAGCCTTCTTCCTCGTAGAAAGAGGATTACCAGAGCTGGAACCATCTGTTCTTTCGATTTACTTTTGGAAGAAAATGATTGCAGTGAGGATGTAAGTAAGGTTTTGTTGGTTTTCCAAAAAAACCTCTGTAGTGTAGACATACCTTCTGTCTCGGGATGATTGATCAATATAACCCTTCAAATTCACAGCCATCTGTTTTATATCCATGGCTGTAGATGCAGCTATTTGCTAGGTAAGTTAAAATGTGTTTATTTATGTAAATGTGTAACCACTGAAAATTTCAGCAGTTACACATTTGTATGTGGGAGGAGGCAGCTCCCACCTGCCTCCCCACCCCCCATGGCTACTTCTGTACCAGAGGCATCAGCAAGGGGGGAGTGGAAGGGGGTGTGGGAGCTGCATGCAACTGTACACATCCACAACCTAATATCCATAGCTCATATTTTGCAGATACAGATATGGATGTAGATACATATTTTGTATCCATGCAGGGCTCTATGGATCGATATACCAGTCAGACAGTTAGTATATGTTAATTATGCTCAACAACAGCTAGTATTTTTAAAAGATTTTTACTTTGTGGACGTCTGCAAAGTTTTCCAGAAATAGCACAAAAGATTTATGTTATTTCATGCATAATTAACATGTGGAATTCACTGCCACGAAATATCACTAAGTCCAGGCACTTAGTGGGATTGCAAAAGAATATTAGATATTTATATAGCCAATAAGGACGTCCATAGTTACATCACGTAGTGTAAAAAATGAGGAACTTAAGCATGGGTGTTTAGCAGCTGGTTTAAGAAGAAATCTTCCTTGTCAGCAGATTACCGCATATATGTCCATTACAAAGAATCTTGCAGGTTCTTCTGAAACATGGGGTTCTTCTGATTTCAGTGGGGCCAGGATTTCACCCGTCATTCTTGTCACTAGGATGCTCAAGACATAAGCAAAACTTCAGTATGCTGCACCCCTCCACATAGTGCTAAGGTGACAGAGCTGCCCTGGATACTCCTCAATCAAGTCAAAGTGGTGGACAGGCCAAATCTGCCAGCCTAAGCAACTGCTCGGTTTGCCTATAACTAGAGCAATCCCTAATTCTAGACTAAATTGACAACTGCTCTGATCCAAGATGACACTTTTTCTGCTTCAATGCTCTTTATTTTCTAATTACATAGAGATTCTCATAGACTCATAGACTTTAAGGTCAGAAGGGACCATTATGATCATCTAGTCCAACCCCCTGCACAATGCAGGCCACAGAATCTCACCCACCCACTCCTGGAATAATCCTCTCACCTGTATCTCAGATATTGAAGTCCTCAACTGGTTTAAAAACCCCAAGATGCAGAGAATCCTCCAGCAGTGATCCATGCCCCATGCTACAGAGGAAGGTGAAAAACCTCCAGGGCCTCTGCCAATCTACCCTGGAGGAAAATTCCTTCCCGACCCCAAATATGGCGATCAGCTAAACCCTGAGCATGTGGGCAAGACTCACCAGCCAGACACCCAGAAAGTTCCCTGTAGTAACTCCTGTCATCCCTCCATTGACCTATTTACCTCTGATAATGAATGGTCAATTAGTTACCAAGATCATGTTATCTCATCAAACCATCCCCTTCATAAACCCATCTAGCTTAATGAAGCCAGATAGGTCTTTTGCCCCCACTACTTCCCTTGGAAGGCCGTTCCAGAACTTCACTCCTCTAATAGTTAGAAACCTTCATCTAATTTCAAGTCTAAACTTCCTAATAGCCATCTTATATCCATTTGTTCTTGTGTCCACATTGGTATTGAGCTTAAATAATTCCTCTCCCTCCCTGGCATTTATCCCTCTAATATATTTAAAGAGAGCAATCATATCTCCCCTCAGCCTTCTTTTGGTTAAGGTAAACAAGCCAAGCTCCCTGAGTCTCCTTTCATAAGACAGGTTTTCCATTCCTCGGATCATCCTAGTGGCCCTTCTTTGTACCTGTTCCAGTTTGAATTCATCCTTCTTAAACATGGGAGACTAGAACTGCACACAGTATTCCAAATGTGGTCTCTCCAATGCCTTATATATGGCACTAACGTCTCCTTATCCCTACTGGAAATACCTCGCCTAATACATCCCAAGACCGTATTAGCCTTTTTCACGGCCATGTCAAAATGGCAGCTCATAGTCATCCTGTGATCAACCAGGACTCCGAGGTCCTTCTCTTCTTCTGTTTCTTCCAACTGATATGTCCCCAGCTTATAACTAAAATTCCTGTTATTAATCCCTAAATGCATAACCTTACACTTCTCACTATTAAATTTCATCCTATTGCTATCACTCCAATTTACAAGATCATCCAGATCTTCCTGTATGATATACCAATCCTTTTCTGAATTGGCAATACCTCCCAACTTTGTGTCATCTGCAAACTTTATTAGGACACTCCCACTTTTGGTGCCGAAGTCAATAAAAAGATTAAAAAGATTGGTCCCAAAACTGATCCTTGAGGAACTCCGCTAGTAACCTCCCTCCAACCTGACAGTTCACCTTTCAGTATGACCCGCTGTAGTCTCCCCTATAACCCATTGCTTATCCACCTCTCAATTTTCATATTGATCCCCATCTTTTTCAATTTAACCATGTGGTACTGTATCTAATGCCTTACTAAAA